CAGCAAATTAAACTGCTTTTGGCCATCCCAGGAGTTTAAGACTTCCTGTGACCCTCCGTGGATGAGAAAGAAAATAGATTTTTGTACTTCTTATTAAAAAATATTCTTGGAGTCCATTGAGGGGCACAGGTCCCACCGCTCTGTTTATGATCATGCTCTTGGTACTGCTTTGCCACAAAATGGGGGCATGCTGACAGTAGAAGGGGTTATATCCAGGGCTGGCCTGCAGGTTTTTTTTGTTTGCCAATGTCCAACCCTCCTGTAGGTGGCAGTAAAACCTGAAGGTTTATGACTTCCTCAGCCCTCAATTGACTCCAAGAAGGGATATTACAGTAAATACAAAAATCCTATTATCAGCTGCCATCTCCGCTTCAGAGACGCAATTGTTAGGTTATATTGAGAAATCTAATTAGCCTTTAGAAAGTGTTTTCTCATGTTGACAATCAGAAAACAGAACTTGCCTGTTTTAGAAGGTGAAGTAGTTGTTCCCTCTGCTTTGCCATCTGTTCCTTTTGACGTGCAGCTTCCTCTGTGAGTACTTGTAAAATCAAACTATGCCTTTCCACTTTGTCCTGGGGATAAATAAGACGAGTATGTGAGAAGGGATCAGTATAAACATGCAATCTGTGCAGCAGTGGTCATATAGAGCTCCAGACATTATACTCCTGAGCAGATACTTACCTTTATGTCAGGCACGGCCCACTCCTTCACCTGCGGTCTTTGCTCCAGCCTCTGAACCCTTTTGCCTAGATTACCGTATTCGTTCTGGATCTCTCCTAGATCTTGCTCCATTCTCTGCAAATGGCTCATGCCTTCCTGATCTTCTCTCTGTAAGGAAGGTCATAGAGTTTAGGACAATATTTCTTGTCTGCAGAGGAGGAAAACTCAATTGCAGAGATCGTTGTATCTATTATATTGCATCTTGCCATAATTTTGTAGTATTGTCATTTTTGAAGTCTAGCTACAAATGTTCTTAAAGGGACCTGGCCAACTTAGGCATGAAGGGCAGGTTTGAAGCCAGGATTTTTAGGTCACATTGTTCTTGATTTGTAAATCATTTGTAAAACATTTTCTGCAGGAGTTAAAAGAAGGCACTTATCTAACTTTAGAAATCTGCTTGAACATCTTAGGTGCCCCGAAAAAGGGTGATCTTCTTGGCAAATATCAACTTCAGCATAGAAAACAAAGCTCTATATTCAACCCCCCCCGAACAGTAGTTTATGCTGCTCATTCTTCTGTCGAGGAACCTATAATGTGGTCAAGAGAGCGGCAGAAATGGACCAAAACTTGACTTTTTGTGCTGGTGTACTTGGTCAAGTGAGCTCTCTACTTTCCAGGCCCTCAGCATGCTCAAATAGATGTCTAAAGGTAAAAGGCGCCACCTTGGCTGTCCACTTTCAACTGCTGCTGACAGTCCTTTAATATGATGACACTGAACTGCTAATGCTTTTCAGGAAATGCTATGAAAAGAGTACAGTGGGATCAAACTTTTAATGTGTTTGTAGTGGTCATACAACTTTATTGACTTACAAAATAATCTATGCAATGTCAAACAGATCTATTTCCAAGGATTGGTACTTTACCTGGAGTCTCTCAGCTTCCACACCAAGCCGCCTCGTCGCTTGCCTCGCTCTTGAAACCTCTGCTTTCAGCTTCTCCATGATCTGCTCTTGCTTTGCTTGCCTACCGGCAATCCTTTGCAGTTTGCCAGTGGTGGAACTGTAGGTGTCTGTCAGTGCTTGGCCCAGCTGGAGTGTCCCATATACAAGAACATTAAACTCCTCCTGCAGCGTAGGGCTCCTGTGTTCATTTCCCAGGGAGAAGGGCAGCACTGAGATGAATAGAAGAAGCAGCATAGTGTGCATTGAATGGAGAACGCTGAGTGAGGAGCAGGCAGGGCAGGTGTCCTGGTTAAAGGGAAATGTGAGCAGGGAGGATGTGCCATGAGGGTTTGGATTATGTAAGATATATTGGGTATTTCAACAGATTCTGCAAGAGGGTGATGAGTCAGGAACAGCTGTCTGCCTTCCTTTTATGTACTGAGTGCTGCCTTCCGTCTGCCCATCACTCTCATCAACTTCCCGGATTCCCAGCTTTGCATCTCTTTCCCTGCTGCTTGATGTGATGCAATTTCAATTTCTTAAGACTACATAACCCATCATGCATTGCTTCAAAGTAGGAATGCACCAATACCATTTGTTCCAGACCGAGTACGAGCACCGATACTTTTCCTCAAATACTTGCCGCTATCAATTACCGATACTTTTTTTTTGTGTGTGTGTCATGTGACATTTTTTCTAAAACAATACAGACTAATGATTTTAGGACAGTGGTGGAGCGCCAGGGACGGGTAGCAGATGCAAGCGCTGCGACCCTGTTAGTTTTGCCACTGATTCCAAGCTGTAGAGGGACTACAAATCCCAGCAATACATTATACAACAATGCAGAATACCACCAGCTAGAGAGGACTAAAAATCCCAGTAATACATTTTACAACAATGCAGAATAATATCAAGCTAGATACTCTGTGTTGCTCACCAGGGCTGTGTGGGCTCTCAGGAGGCGGTGCAGGGGCCCTACCAGGGCTGCTGCGTGGCCTCACCTGGGCTGCTGCGTGGCCTCACCTGGGCTGCTGCGTGGCCTCACCTGGGCTGCTGCGGGGCCTCACCTGGGCTGCTGCGCGGCGGTCTCGCCAGGGCTGTGTCTGGGGTCGCGCAGGTGCTGGAGGCGGGAAGGAGAAGGACGAGGAGATGTGTGGCTGGCACTGTAAACAGCCGCCGCAGAGGTCCCCACAAGGCTGCCGCGAGGTCCCCAGCAAGTATGGGACCTTACGTCAGCCGAATGTATTTAACATGTAAAGCGGCGTTTAGTATCGTGGCATTTTCACGAGTAGGAGTAATGAAAATGCCCAGTATCGGCAGCGGTGCATCCCTACTTCCAATGTTGCATTGTTCAGAGGTTGAGTTGTAGTTCAGACGGCAGGCTGAGTTAGAGTGGTGACACAAGGAGGTGCATGTTCACAGGGCTGGGTGCAATTGTGTCAGTGTATTAAGGAAGTACATCCGATGGGCATCTTCAATAAGTACGTTTACAAACTTCTAGAAGGATATGGTTATTAGGAGCGGGATAGAACTTCAATATAGAAATACAGATTTATTTGTAATTTTTGACCATACATAATAAATACCCTTTAAGGTGCCAACAAACATAAGATCACTTCTGGATCTGACTGCAGTTTGCTGGACCGTATATTATTCTCAGTTCTGTGGGTACTTTAACAACCAAATACCCCTTTGCTACCAGGTATGTATGTAATTGCAAACTGTGTGGCATAGCTTTATGCACAGAAACCTGCCTGCTGCAGCGATGTGCTCCGATCCGTAGGGATGTGTGTATTGTAATGCTACAGCAAAAGAGACACAGTAAGAGCCTTTCAGGCCTCCTGCAGCGCCCTTCCCATCATCATCATCATATGGGAAGGGCGCTGTTCATGCTGATACATCATTAGATCAGCATGGACAGAACATTCATATGATCGGCACTAATGGCTCTTATGCTCTATATACTGCATCTACAGCGGCTTTTGTGCCGATCCTATGGACAGTTTATTGCCTACAAAGCTGATCGGCTCAGGTATGACCCCCTATGATCGGGGTGGTGACAGCCCAGTAATAGGGATATGTGGAGAGAGAAATCCATGTCACGGAGCATTGCCGGGTTCTTTTCTGATGGGGAAAAGAGAAATATTTCTCAGCGCCATTTTATAGTTGTGTCGGGACCCTAAAGGGTTAATCTTTTTCTCCCTCCGGATCGGTTTCATTTTTTAATTCCTCATTAGGTGGGACTGTTACTTCAGTTCAGTCACTTTTTTGCTCTCGTCTGATGTCAATGTCAGGTAAACACAGGTGACCTCGCCCCGAGGTTGCACAAAGGTGACACCGTCTGCTCTCTTCCCATTGGCTGAATCGGGTATGCCCATTGCTGTCACTGTCCCTCTGCCAGAATGGGGAAGTGGTCACGTTTCAGGGACACAGCAAGGGCCAGCAGGCACTCAGCTGTGCTTGTGTTCAGTAAGGATCCAGAAAGGATTTTTTAAAGCGTATGTCAAGGCAAAAAAACAAAACACGTATGCGATACATCTCTGCATTACATGCACATTGCTCTATGTTTTAGACCAGGGGTGGGCAACTCTGGCCACCCAGCTGTTGTGGAACTACAGGTCCCATGAGGCATTGCAAGACTGGCAGTTGCATGCATGATTTCTAGAGGCAAGGGCATGTTGGGATTTGTAGTTCAAGCATAGCTGGAGGGCCGGAGTTGCCCACCCCTGTTTTAGATCCTGCAAGTTCAGAAACCAGACCTGTTGATCTGCCAAAAATGTGCTCAGGTTCTTAACAACACACATCATTTTAATGGACTGAGTGGTGTCATCCCTGCCCAGTTTCCTTTGCTAAACTACTCAACCACCCCCTCTGTCTACAGCTCTAGACCATTCTTTCAAAATGCAGATAATAAATCTAAATGTATCCATTTTAATCAAACACCAGTTTACCTACAAGTATATTTTTTGGCTGTAGAATGATCCCTGACAAACAGAAGGAGAATATACATGCTTCATTTAGTGTTCCAAGTGGGAATTTAATTGGTGACTCCCGTGCCACAGGGACTATCCACTATACTGTCATGCTACCAAGGGGCACTATTGCTACCTGCTCTCAGTCCATGTGTATAGCCTGTGCAGAGGGCAGATCTGTGGGAGGGGTCCAGCAGGCCCCACCCACTACAGGCTGTCTGTAGATAACTACAGGAAGGGGCGGAGACAAGACCAGTCACCTTGCCCAAGAAGAGTAGGCAACAGTGACCGGTCTTAATATAGGAAGCTCCTGCACGAGTGGAGGAGATGTTTCATGCTAGATTACTGCACATACAGCCTTGACTGCCTCAAGTTTAGGAAGCATTGGGACATAATTTCCATAACTATTTTTTTTTTATCTTCACAGGAACCTTCTGTACGTTTATCCACGGTCCCTTAACTTCAGCAGCCGCCAAGGTTCTGTGCGGAATATTGCAGTGAAGGTCCAGTTCATGGCTGGGGAGGACCCCAATCAAGCTTTGCCGGTAAGCCTCAAGACAGCTTGCTACAGGCAATACAGAAAACATTTCAATTTTATCGAAAATCAAAACTTTTTTTAATGTTAATTTTAGTTTTGGTTACGGGAAAGGTTTAAGAGCTCTTTCAGGTTTTCATTGCTGTCTGTGTGCTCCATATTTGTCCTGGTGGCCAGTGTCACACGATCAGAAATTCAAAAAGGTTACCGTGGTCACCAGGAGAGGAAGTGAGGGGACACCTCTTTTGATGACACTTGTCTAAGGGGAGGATTTCCCTCACTTCCTGTTTTGTATCTGGGACTGTAAGTAAAGGGAATTCTCAATAGGATGTACCGGGAGCCTATAACTGCAGCCTATTAAAGACCAGAGGGTGACAGGGGACAAAGAACAGAGCTCCTGTCTCCAGATGAAAATACTTTATTAGTTCTGTGTACAGTGACAAATGCCAAAGCTTTGTTGGGGAGATTGACCCCACTTCCTGTACTATGATGGCCACCCACAGCTCGAATTTTGTCTGAATCCTTTCTAAAATTGCCAAAATTCGAGCTGTAGGTGGCGCTGTTGGTACCACTAGTCAGTTGACTTTTCTCCAAGTAGCTGGGTGGAAAACTACCTCCACGGTTCCTGTATCCAATAAGATGCAGTCACAGTAGTGTATGGCTAGTCTTAGTGACTACATTCCCTCTGAAAATCTCCAACGGGGACACAGGCAGCGCTATAAAGCTGACAGAGGTTCTAGGCTAACTCTTCCCTTCAAAAAGAGTGTTTCTGTTATTGTGGTTGGCATCCCTCTTGAAGATTCGTCCTCTTTATCATGTCTTAGTGACATGTTGTTACTGGGACAAAAAAAAACAAGGGAGAATCTTCTCAATGGGGCCATAAAGTAAAAACTGGCAGGGGATCAAAGCCTTCCCAACTCTATCCAAATCTGAAAATATAAGGCAAAAATAAATATTTGTTCTTAGTACAAGAGTCTATTACGCTCTCTGGTAAAAGAGCAGCAGGCCAAAGTTGACCTACATTTCAGTTGGAAGTCCAGCAGATTTTTTTTTTTTAGTTTTGGACAGAGAGTGAAAGTTTTTGAACCCTGTTATTTTATTGTTCTCCCTCGTGCAGATTTCCACTAACTTCCTGTTCCAAAAAAAAAGCAAGAAGTGAGAGACCCCCCCCCCTTTCCAAAGTGAGGGAAATCCCACCTTTGGCCACTGTCATCAGAGCACATGTCCCCATTGGAAGATTTCATCTACTCCTGTGTAGGTGACCTATGTCAGAGGTTGGATTTCCCCTTAATTTCCATTCGTTACCAAACCCAACAGAGGTTCTGACCCTTCCCCCCTCTTATCCAAAATGGAAAAAAAAAAGTTTGACTAGTTCTGTTACAATACACATGCCTGGCTATCCTGACGTAATAACCCTCCAAACTCATAAGTGGTAACAGAGGCTGGGAAGTAGTGTCCTCTCTGCAGAAAGGGTGGCCAGGGCTCCATCGGGCAGCCAGTCACGTTACTAATGCCACAGGTCATGGGATCTTTGCTGAAGAGTTGGGTGTCTGAAACCCAAGCAGAAGCAGCCATGCAGTGGCCCTGTACATTAATCTTTCCATGGAGAAGATCCACATTGGCCATATGATTGGCCACCAGAGGAAGCCCTGACCACCATTTTAATGAGGAAAGGTGCATTTGTTTTTGCCCCTTTTGAGCATTCACGGAGGGAGATTGTTGGGGTTGCTTATTAGTTAAATATAGCTTTACCCGAGTAAAATGTTTTTCAAAAACAAGTACATTCGTTTGGGTTTCTTTGCACATAACTTATTAGGAGATTTTCTAGTCAGCAGAAATTTGCTCTGTTATCCTGTATTTAGCTGTAACTGTCCCGTGTTTTTGTCTGCAGGTGATATTTGGGAAGTCGAGTTGCAGCGAGTACTACAGCGAGGTGTACACTGCTGTGGTATACCATAATAAGTGAGTAATTCTTGTCCCATCTGGCCCTGTCCCATTAGACTGTGGAGGGCCACTCTACAAGATGCATTTCAAGCCCTCTTGACAGACAAATGCTGTGCCCATAAGTGGGGGGATCACTTTGCCTCTGTTCCCAGCCATTTCTCACAAATCCTTTTTGCACCCTCACAATATCACTTCCTGTGACTGACATCTTTGGACCCAGTCCCAGCTACAACCCCTCAAGTGAGCCTGGCATAAAATATGAGATTATAATACTATGTCATCTGCTTGTCACACCTACCCTTATCAATACATAACTAGAGTTAAAGGGGCTCAGAGTTTTGCTTTGTGATCGACCTTTACTTTTTGTCACCATCTTAGCTTATTAACTTTTTTTGTGCCAAATCCCTCCCAGATCTCCGGAGTTCTATGAAGAATTCAAAATGAAAATTCCTGGAAACCTGACCGAAAACCATCATCTTCTCTTCACTTTTTACCATGTGAGCTGCCGGCAGAACCAGACTTCCGCCTTGGAGACTCCTGCTGGCTATACGGTGAGTGCTTCCACTTCCTATACCTTTTTTGTGTGTGTGCCCTCAGCCAAGACTTTACCATTGGTCCCTGCTCATAAGGGTAACAGGCAGGTTGAAGTATTGCTTGGGTGGTCCAGGGCCCCATAGCCCTTGAAGAGTGACAAGTGAAATCTGGTTCTGATAGACTGACACTCCTCTTTCTTCACAGTGGATCCCACTCATGCAGCATGGCAGACTTCGCTCAGGAGCCTTCTCCCTCCCAGTGTCTGTGGAAAAGCCTCCACCCAGCTACTCAGTGCTGACCCCTGATGTAAGTATACCAGGAACAGAATGGAAGCTGTATGGCTGTCATTGTACCATATATATTCATGTACAACATATGTTCTAGGTCTATTTCTAGGTAAGTCAGTTCACCGAAGACTAATATTTAAAGGGGAACTCTTATAAGAGATTAATGGAGTCTGCCATTACTGAACCCCCCTAAGGAATGCTAGTTACCTGGCTGTTCTGATGTTTTGATTTCAATGAGGTTTGAGTCTCTGACCCGGAACAAGTATAGAAATAAGTATCACTGACACCTTTCTGACACTCATTTGCTGCATATCTGTTACTAGACTGTGACTGAAACATAATGAAATCAGACTCGTCTAGACAATGAGCAGCCCCCATATTTCTCTCATGTCAGGGCCCCTTAAACCAGGGCCTGGGTCTGCACATCTGCTGTGGCCATTATTTTGGGAGTTCCCGCTCTCCCTGCTTGATTTGTTAATGTTATGGAGAATGTAACAGCTGGAGCACACAGAGGTCAGCAGGAACACCCAAAACTCCCGAGTCAGGAATTATAACAGGAAGATCTCACTGTTCCAAGACAAATAAGATGCCTGGGTCTGACCCAGCCCATCATGTCGCACCTAAAATTAACATATTGCTTATGGGTGGTTGCTTCTTTCTAGAGCTGCAGCTAACGATTATTTTCAAAATCGATTAGTTAGCCGATTTGTGGAGCCGTGAACAGGGCCAACTGATCAGAAGCCGATTAATCGATTATTGAAAAAGTTCACAACTTTTTCAATAATCGATTATAATCGATTATGTCGATTAGTTGTTGCAGCCCTACTTCTTTCAAAGGGGCATTACTTAAAGTGGCCCTGTCCTCTTGTCTATTCTGGGCAAAGTGACAGGGTCTCTTTAAAGCACACCCTCTTTATTTTCACTTTCTGCAGCAGCTGCCATAAAATACTCAATGTTAGTTGGTGATGATTGTGGCTCCCTCTGTCATGTGACAGAGTCTAAGCCTAGCCACTGGCGGATAGTACTGTCACATGTTTCCCAATATCTGGAAGCACTAGTTAATTTGTGATGGGAGTAAGTGTGTGTGTGTGTGTGTGTGTGTGTGTGTGTGTGTGTATGCGCGCGCATTGGGTTTAAATGAACTCTTCCACTTTGCCCTGAATGAGCTAGGTAACAGAATCTCTTTAGGTGCTTCCTCATCTTAAACGGGCTGCGAAGGTGCAATGTGGGGATGAGTACAACAGGTCATTGGTGGCAAACAATGCAATGCATCATGGGAGCAGGTCACATGCTCCCCAGTACCTGGAAGCACTAGTTATTTTGTGATGGCAGAAGGTGCGGTAAGGGAGAGTTATGAAGGCGAGTATAAGGTAGTCGATGTTGGGGGGGAGGTTGGCTTTAATTAGACTCTTCCATTTTGCCCTGAATGAGCTTGGTGACAGAGTCTCTAAGTTTTTCCTCCTCTTAAAGGGGCTGCAAATGAGCACTGTGAGGGTGAGTATTACAGGTCAGGTTTTTTTTGTGATAGTGTTTCTTATTTTGTAATCGATTAAACCAGACCTGGATGTTGAGCTGCCAGAAATGTCAGTAATTCCAGTTGCAGGCATAGCCGGGACAGGACGCGGTGCATGCCTAATGATCCTCTGGTGCTTTAGCTGCAATTGTGTTCTCAAACGTCTACAAGATGTTCCGGCTGCTTTAAATAGACAGAAATCAAAGTGCTCCTTAGAGCAAGCGATCCATTTACCGGATGTTGGAAAATCTCTGTTCATCTCGTTTAATGGGCAGACTTTGTCCTCCAGCAGATCATCATCTCGCTTGCAGTCATAGTTTAATTGCACCGTTATGGCCCTAATAATTCTCCATTAGGTTGCAGATACTGAGGAGTCAATTCTCATCTGAAATTCCAGATGTCCGCTTTATGGGGGGTCACTCCCTGCGTCTCGGCTTAAAGGGGAAGCATTGTGTTTTCCTAGTGATCACATATTTTAAGTTATGATCGCAGTGTTTACCTTTGCAGAATATTTTGTTGAGATATTTAAATTTGTACACACTTAGGGGGTTATTCACTTAGTTGCCAAAGGCAGCCGAGTGAATAACCCAGCCGAAGTGAAGTGAGCCGAACGCCGTTCGGCTATTCAATTCAGCCTTGTACAGCTGATTTCAGCCGTACATAGACTGCCTTCAGTCAGCCGAAGTGCAGAAGGAGTTCGACTCAGCCGATCCAACATCTGCATCGGCTGACGTTCACCCCTATTCTCATAGGGGCCGAACGCCAGTGAGTGAATAGCCGAATGCTGCCGAGCGCACTGTCAACAACTATCACTTTAACACGAAGAACATGTTGGGCACAAAGTTCCTACACCTACATACATGCAGCTTTGTTTTCTTTTGTTCAAGTGTCACTTTAACAAGTCAGTCACTTAAACAGCTGCTGAGATGAGGTATCAGCCAAAAAGGGAGTGCATTGTTTTTAGTAAGTCGGCCAACCTATAGCCTGGAAGGAGTAAGAAAGGCCAATTGTTGGTCAGTACTGCAAAGTAGGAAATTCGTTGTTTTTTTTTAAAACCTGGCCTGAGCCCAGGCCGAGCTGATGGCGCACTCCCATGGGGCGCGTCTGATGTAGCTATATGATGACTTTGCCTAGATCAGTGGTTCTCAACCTGTGTAACCTCAGGACCCACATATGTCCTTAGTCATTAAGTTGCGACCCAAGTCGCACTGCAATGGAATGCACGACATTGCAGGCGGGAGGTGCGTTTGGGATGCCATTCAAATGAATGGCAGCTCAATGCACCCTCTGCACCTGAACGCGTAGTAGGTGCGATTGCATGGTACAGTGTGTTGATTGCACAGGACTGTTGGATTAACGCACTGTACTGGTGTGAACGGGCCCACAAAAAAAACTGACAGACACACACAACCACAGACACAATCTCACACAACCACAGACACACATACACCCAGTCTCCCTACCTCATGCGAACTGAAGTGGATCCTCAGCCTGGGGTCCAGTGTGGGCTGCTGTGCTGTGATGGAGCTCCATCCATTTGTTCATCGTTTGCACTATTTCCTTATATGCCCTGTAGAGGTGCCGGGAGCCAGAACGGGATGTCACTCTGGTCCAGACACTTTGACGGGACATGCGAGGAAGCTGTAAGCAATGCATGTATGGATGGAGCTCCAGGGACAAGTCTAACAGCCAGCTGGCTGCAATGCAGGGCTAGCTCCATTGCATTGGTTAAGAATATTTATCCCCGGAGTTCTACTCCTAGAAGTGTTACACTCAAAAGATGGAGGATGCACTTGGCACTTTAACCTCTGAGCTGTTGGAACTATAACAAGTATATTGCAAATGTTAGTAATGGTATGTTACAGGAAGCAATGTTTGTTTTTTGGTCCAGTGATACCCTTTGTGTGTTGTGCTTGTTTCCAGGTCCAGCTCCCGGGAATGAAATGGGTGGACAATCACAAACCTGTGTTCATGGTGGATTTGGTGGCCGCTTCTTCGGTGCACACACAGGTCCCGTATACAACCGCAGTGTCTTAGGGTTGTTTTATAGGGAGGCCGGCGTCTATCTTCAGAGATATACAAAGCTTAGGAGTTGTAATTGTAATATTATTCTATGCTTGTGTAGTATTTTCCTGGTAACATTGTATGTACAAAGGGTTTGGGTTCCCCTCTAGTGGTTGTGTGTAGATCAGTCCGTATTCTTCTAGCGATTTTCACACACATACAACCAGCAAAAAGCTATTGAACAAATTAATGCAACTTCCCAACATCACTGGAATATAAATATATAAGATATTTGGTGTGGGTTTCCTCGATTATATAAATTTTTTGGTGATTGACAGCTATTTGTAAATGCTTCTAGTTGCAGGACAAAAATGTCCATATGTATGGCAACCCAGTCACTATAATTTTATGTAATCATTAACCTGTTAAGGTCTTTGTTAGGGCACTTCCTGTTAAGAGGCGACATCGCTCTGTGCCTGTCTTCTAGTTGATCATCTACACTTTCACTCTATCATGTGTGCTTGTGGTGGGGATTATAAGTGGCCATGCCAATGCTCATGGCACAGGCATGTTGTGCGACCACATACCTCTGATCACTCAGTTCACAGTCTTCTCCAGGCAGAGAGCGGTAACTGTCAGCCACAGCTCCCCGCAGAGATTCCCTGTCCCTCCAGCGCTCCTTAGAGGGACAGACAAGGGAAGGGTGAGCACAGCCGGCTCTGGATCTGAGGAGGCAGAGCCAGTTGTCAATCAGGCAGCAAGATGGATCCCGAAAATATTGTCGGGATCTTTCCCGGCTGCAGCGGGACTCTACACTGTCGGTAAATAGCGGCAGTAGCCTGCTAGATGCTGAGTACATTAGTACTTTTCTTGGAGTCCATTGAGGCACACAGGTCCCAATCGTATGTTTTTGTGACCATGCTGTCATTACTGATTTGCTAGTGTCCAGTCTTCCTGTAGGTGGCATTATGACCTAAAGGTTTATAAACTCCTGTGTTCCTCAGTGGACTGCAGGGAAATAATTTTACGGTGAGCGAAAAAAAACCTTTTCCTAACAGCTACAGTGCGGGAATAAGAGTAGAGTGATTACTGAGAAGCATCAAAGCTTGCAGCTGATTAGCTGAATGTCCCCTCTCTCTATTTAGGACCCCTACTTGGACAAGTTCTTCACACTGGTCCAGGTCTTGGAGGAGCAGAGCTTTCCGTTCCGCCTGAAGGACGTCATCATTTCAGAAAGCAACGTGGAGTCAGAACTGAAGAGTAGCATGGGGAACCTGCGTTTGGCTGCTCTCGGACCAGCAGTGTGTTTCTGCCACCAGCTGCTGGACAAGTTGATATTACTGATTGTCCGACCCCCTATTATAGCAGGACAGATAGGTAAGTGCTGTTCTTTTGTCTCATGTCCTATGTTTTCTGCCTTCACCAAGAGCTGTTGGTTTTCAGATGGAGGATAGCAGAGCAGGCTTTGGAGACTCATCTTCGTAGTCCACCTATTTTAGACATGAAACTGTGGGATTCCCCACTGCCGACTCCCAATTCTAAGATAACAGGGAAACAGCATTATGAACCTCACAAAAACCTTCCTAACTATACTAAAAAAACATTTTTGCTATTTTTGTCCCTCCCTCACTTACTGGCAATGATTAGAAAGTGAGGGGGAGTCTACCCACTGGGATTTAAGCAGAAATAAAACCTTGCTGGAGGTTCTTACCCCCCTCCTCTGTCTAAAAAAAAAGGTTTTGGCTGGAGTTTAAAACAAGTTTTCTATTTATTTTTCATTCTACACTACACATCCCTTCCTTTCTTCTTCCCCATATTCTTTCCACATTCATTTTTAATAAGCTATGCAAACAGAAAGGAGGAAAAAATAATTCTGTTGAGAAATAACAAGCTGGACGCGGGCTATAGACCAATGCAGATACAGAATGTCACCAGCACACTGAATAAATGTGCCCCAAAAAACATCTTTTATTTGACGTATATAGATATATTGTCACAAGGATGGTAAAGTTTTGGGGCCACGCCGGGTCCCTACATCAGGTCCAATATGACTAGATGCATTTTTGATGGAGGTGATGATCTTAGTTCCTTATGGTCCACCTCGCTGTGCTGTGTCATTCTAGCGAAACCTTTTTTTCGTATTAAAGCATTATAAAGGTCTTATACCCCATTGGAGATTCTTTCATCATTTCCTCTTCTGGTGATCAGAAGAGGAAATCTTCCCGGCAGGCATCTGTAAAGCAATAAACCCTTGGTAGAGGTTTTGACACTTCCTAATGGTCAGCACAGTGGCGTAAGGGTTAGCGCTTCTGCCGGGTTCGAATCCCGGCCAGGTCACTATCTGCAAGGAGTTTGCATGCTCTCCCTGTGCTTGCGTGGGTTTCCTCCCACACTCCAAAGACATGCTGGTAGGTTAATTGGCCCTCTATGTATGCATGTGAGATAGGGACCTTAGATTGTTAGCTCCTTGAGGGCAGGGACTGATGTGAATGTGCAACTATGTAAAGCATAGAAAGTCGCCGTGATATAAATTATAATAATTCTGTTAAAGTTTTTTTATTGCTGTCTGTTTTAGAGCTTTTCTCTCATTTGCTGTCTATATTGACCTCTGTCACTGGAATAGGAAGTGAAGGGAAATCCTCCTGAATGGGTATACACATAGCAATAAAAACTCTTCTGAATTCTATCCACAACAAAAGGGAAGCTGTGGCTGCAATATTACTTTAAAGAGACATTTTCACCTTGCCCATTCAGGGCAAAGTGACAGTGCCTTAGCATATAACTCATGATAGTGAGCCGTATGCTCCTCCATACCCGGAAGTACTAGGTATGTCACTTTACTTCCCCCGAGACAATTAGAACAGTGGGGGAGTGAAGGTAAGATATGTATTAGTAGCATTAAAGAGAACCTGTTACGTTGCCCTGCATGGCAACATTACAGGATCAAGTTAACTTCCAACAGATTCTTCTTATTTTACCCATTGAATCCTTTTCATCTTCTCTTACAGTGAATTTAGGCCGAGCAGCTTTTGAGGTGTTGGCTTTACTGGTAAGCCAGATCCATCGCACTCTGGAGTCCTGTCAAGATCAACATGGCAGGAATGCCCTCCTGGCGTCCTATCTCCACTATGCTTTCCACCTGCCCAGCGACATGCCAGCCCAGCTGCACAGCTGTAAGTGTCAGCAACAGCGCTGCTTGAAAAGGCACATGCCATATGTCACTGAATTACTAGGACCTGGAGTTTACTCATGGTTATGCATGTTGTAGCATAAGGAATGTTGTTATGAGGTTATTGCAGCTTATGAAATATGACCTTATTTACCCAAAAATAAAGTCAGGTGTGATGCTGCCATCTAGAGGTTAGGAGTTTGTACTGCATTAAAATCATCAATATTTAGCTCTGTGTAACTGAAAATACCTCCAATATAACTGCATTGGTTATTTCATTGATTAATCATCCTGCAGTACAGAAGGAATGAGAATGCAGAAGTTGGAGGGTTAGTCAGTCAATCATCTTTTGCACGGCTTTGTCAATCTAAAAGCTGGTCACACACATTGCAGTCTGATTCTACTATTTCCTTTAAATTTGCCAACATCTATATTGTTTGAGTTCTTACCTGAACATTCAATTCAATTTGCATTCATTTTGGCCTCCACACTGCATAGATATTGTTAATTCTAAAGCAGATTGTACAGTCAGATTGTAACGTTTCTAGCTTTATGGATTTTTTTTGTGACCTGTGGCAGTCACATGCACTCACTGTCACTGGTTAGCACTTCTGCCCTGCAGCACTGGGGGTCCCCGGTTTATATGCCGTGCAGGACAAAATCTGCAAGGAGTTTGCATGTTCTCACTGTGCTTGCGTGGGTTTCCTCCGGGTACTCCGGTTTCCTCCCACACTGCAAGGACACGCTGGAAGGTTAGTTGGCTCTTGTCTAAATCGGCCCTGTATGTATGCATGTGAGATAGGGACCTTAGATTGTAAGCTCCTTGAGGGCAGGGACTGATGTGAATGTGCTTTATAAATACCTGTTATAAATAAATACACCCCCGCTCCCCGACCCTTGTCATTTAAAATACTACGGGTGGGAAAAACCCAAATTTTTTTTTACATATTCTTCCCCAAGCACCTTGAACTTTGAAGTGTCATGAGCCGGTGTCAGGGCTGTCATTTATTGCTCAGTGCAGTCTAATACGTTTTCAGGTACTGGCAGCTGGCAGGGGAGAGGTTTGGGCAGCTTATAAAAGGAAAAGGAGGTCATGGAGAACCTCAAGACACACAAGCTTTTTGGATCTCATGAAGTTTCTGGTTGAATCTCTAGAAGCTTCTGGTTTACAGTATCTCTGCACCTGAGTTCTCGGCTCTGATTACCTATGTGGTTATAAGGATGGAGTCACTTCACTTACTGCTGAATTATCCAATGTTTTTTGTAGCATAGAGAATGGTGCACATGTAGTGAGACTCTAGCCTACTGAGAACGTTAGCAGGCAGATCCCACCAGCAAAGATCCCACAGCCTCGGTCTGTAAATGTGAATGATCATTTCTAGTTAGACGTGGTGTTATGTCTCAATGAATGTTTCCATCTTGTTCTTAGTATTGGCACAATTTTATTGTTGATCATCTTGGGCAAGATTTCTTATTGTTTTCCTATTTCATCTCTTTGTTGTCTCAGCTCTGGCCAATGCTTCAGCCTCGTCTACAGTTCATTCAGCTACTCTCTCCCGTGCCACGGGGCGGCCAAGCAGCCTCAACCTTTCCCGCTGCCGCAGTATTAGTAACAGTAACCCCGATTTGACCAGCACTCCGGGATCCACGGATGACGAGGAGGTGCAGAAGATCATGGGAGGGAAGGTATAATTTGTTTATCTAATGCTGTCAGAATTCTCAGGCTGTGGAAGCTGTTCCTGTGTTTTTTGCTGGTTGGGGGTTTTCTGTTCATGGCTGCTGAAGTTTACTTGTTGAAGATTAAAGCAAATAAAGCAGATGTACCCACCTGATCCTTAGTCCAGTCGCAGTTAGAACTCACCTCTCTCCTTCTGGCAATATAATGCCCCTCGGCGTCCTCACGTCTAATGCAAGTCAATAGAGCTATATTATATTTGATGACGTCACATCTAATGAAGCTGCATGAACTGGTTTAGCTGCCCAAGGGGACCTAGGATCGGGTAAGTAGATCTCGACAAAAACCAGCATTTACCCCTTGTAGTGCGGGGGTAACCCCACTGCAAGGGTAAGTTTTTTAAATTCTTGAGTTCTTCTTTAAGATCTCATTTTCAGATGGTATACAAACCCACCTCATAAAAAGTACCTACCTTTCCCTTCCTCCTTCGTTAAAATGTTTTAATTTGCTGGGAAGGTATCAGAGCACTTTAGGCTGATCAAGGAGTGATTGGCTGTTTAGGGGTAAGTAAACCTCCCTAAAGGATCCCTAGAAAAGATTAGCATTGTCCTGTACTTTGTTTTAAATAAGTGATTGATTATGTGCTTTTTATTTTTTTTCCTTGTAATACCTAATTATACCCGGGCATAAATATTTGTTTCTTTTCTGTACACATGTATTTTATATTCTTTTATATCCTGAGTTCTTTCACTACCTGTGCTTTGTTCCTGGATGTATGTCCTGGCTTTGTTTCCTCCCCTTCCAGTGACATCTGTATTGGGTGCTTTGCCAGTCCTCACCCCTTTATTCTCCCGGGCATTCTCTCTCCTGCAGGGTATTGATCGCTCTCACTCTTGGGTGAACTCTGCTTACTGTCCAGGTGGTCCGAAATCGGTGCAGCGCCGGGCCCAGCCCAGCTCCAACACGGAGCTCCGACAGGTGGCACTTCCTCTTACTTGTGTTTTGCATGTGCCAGCCTCTCTCTGCATGCCCTCTGCACCCATTTTACCTGTAGCTGTGTAGTCATCTCCTCCTTTATCTGTAACCCATTGTGACATTTGCTAGTCTTTGTGGTTATCAACATCTTCAGATCCCCAAGAGTTATATTTTCAGTAAGAGGTAGGATATGGACTATGCATGCAAAAAAATGCTCACGGGTTGAAGAAGCTTTACAGTTTTGATACTTGACTCAACAGTATGCAGATAGTTCAGATCTGTATGGAGGATGTATGGCACTTTTGTGCACTTATGCATGTTAATCGTGCCCATTATATGTGTAAAGAAATGCCAAAAAAAAAGCGAATTGCACCGCAGCTCTGTGTCTTGCTTTGCACTGCAATGGCAATAAAAGAGCTGCCTATGACAAAGCGCCTTGACGCACAAAGCTCATTGTGTTACATAGGATTTGCACTTATCTTGGGAATCCATTTTAAACCAAGATTCAGCGATTCTGTAGTTTATTCTGCATGTCATATGGCTGTCATTCATATGTCTTTCTTGTCTCTAACCCCTCCATGTTTCCCACCTCCATCTTCTCTTCCATTCCTCATTAAACTCTCCTACGGCCACCTTTTAACTTCTCCATAGAACAATGAGCGAAGTCCAAACCGCATGTCCACCTACGTGGAGGGGGAAGTGTCCTCCACCCTGCCTCGCCTCACTGCTAAAAAGGTATTTGCTCTGGCTGTTTGATGCGTGTTATGGTTTTCTTTAGGTCTTTGTAATGATGCTGAATTAGGACTGGAGAGCTCCAGGAGCCAGTGCAGCTGAATCATTACAGCTGGAAACTAATGTTTTTAAGGCTTCCAGACAATTAAAGCACAAAGTGAGCAATACTGCATGTTGGCTTTATTCATTCATTTGCCTATTAATATGATTCTGCCTGGTACTAACGTGATTTGTGTTTTTAGAACATTTTTCTTATTTTCACATTTAGCTTTCAAAGGTTCAGGTGAATGTTAGCAAGAATTACTGACAAGCAGTAAAATGTATCACTCCTTCCTACCACAGGGTGACACAGACAGGGAGAGCTATGTGACATGGAGTCTGTCCCTCCCACCACATGGTGACACAGACAGGAGGAGCTATATGACATGGAGTCTGTACCTCCCACCACAGGGTGACACAGACAGGGGGAGCTATGTGACATGGAGTCTGTACCTCCCACCACAGGGTGACACAGACAGGGGGAGCTATGTGACATGGAGTCTGTCCTCCCACCACAGGGTGATACAGACATGGGAAGCTATGTGACATGGAGTCTGTCCGTCCCACCACAGTAAAGGATGTCAATGTGACCATCTAGGTAGGACACAGGAGCATTAAGTCGTACATGATACTGGTGGGTTTATTCTTTATGGCTGACAGTTGTTTGTTGTGTCTAGCTGTTGCATGAAGAACTGGCCCTGCAGTGGGTGGTGAGCGGCACTCCAGTCCGAGAAGCAGCTCTGAGTCAAGCTTGGTTCTTCTTCCAGCTCATGGTAAGTGGTGGAGAGGTAATAGAAGAATATGCGGGACAAGCTAAGACTGTCTGCCGAGAATGCGATAGACAGAAGGAGGTGAATTTGTCTTTGTGTAGTGTGGATTTCAGATGTAAAGTATTCCTGTATGTTAGAAAAATTTTGTAAACTAAAAGTGATTCTGTATAAGGGTGCAAGAAGCTGGAAGAGTGCGCCTCATTACTGCAACCCCCCACAAGACATGCTGGAGACCCTTAATACCCTGTGTAGATCTAGGCTTTCTGAAAAACTCTTATTTACATAGGCTCAATTATGAGCCACTACTACTTTTATACAGCAGTCCTTGACTTGGCACGCAGCAGACCTTGACTTTGCACGCAGCAGACCTTGACTTTGCACGCAGCAGACCTTGACTTTGCACGCAGCAGTCCTTGACTTGGCACACAGCAGTCCTTGACTTGGCACACAGCAGTCCTTGACTTGGCACACAGCAGTCCTTGACTTGGCACACAGCAGTCCTTGACTTGGCACACAGCAGTCCTGGAGTTTGGCACACAGCAGTCCTGTAGCTTTGTGCCCAGTAGTCCTTGAGCTTGGCGAACAGCAGTCCTATGGCGTGGTGCCTAGTAGTCCTGGAGCTTGGCGTACAGCAGTCCTTTGAGCTTGGCACACAACAGCCCTGGAGCTTGGCACACAGCAGTCCTATAGTTTGGTGCCTAGTAGTCCTGGAGCTTGGCGCACAGCAGTCTTGCACCCATTTTACCTGTAGCTGTGTAGTCATCTCCTCCTTTATCTGTAACCCATTGTGACATTTGCTAGTCTTTGTGGTTATCAACATCTTCAGATCCCCAAGAGTTATATTTTCAGTAAGAGGTAGGATATGGACTATGCATGCAAAAAAATGCTCACGGGTTGAAGAAGCTTTACAGTTTTGATACTTGACTCAACAGTATGCAGATAGTTCAGATCTGTATGGAGGATGTATGGCACTTTTGTGCACTTATGCATGTTAATCGTGCCCATTATATGTGTAAAGAAATGCCAAAAAAAAAGCGAATTGCACCGCAGCTCTGTGTCTTGCTTTGCACTGCAATGGCAATAAAAGAGCTGCCTATGACAAAGCGCCTTGACGCACAAAGCTCATTGTGTTACATAGGATTTGCACTTATCTTGGGAATCCATTTTAAACCAAGATTCAGCGATTCTGTAGTTTATTCTGCATGTCATATGGCTGTCATTCATATGTCTTTCTTGTCTCTAACCCCTCCATGTTTCCCACCTCCATCTTCTCTTCCATTCCTCATTAAACTCTCCTACGGCCACCTTTTAACTTCTCCATAGAACAATGAGCGAAGTCCAAACCGCATGTCCACCTACGTGGAGGGGGAAGTGTCCTCCACCCTGCCTCGCCTCACTGCTAAAAAGGTATTTGCTCTGGCTGTTTGATGCGTGTTATGGTTTTCTTTAGGTCTTTGTAATGATGCTGAATTAGGACTGGAGAGCTCCAGGAGCCAGTGCAGCTGAATCATTACAGCTGGAAACTAATGTTTTTAAGGCTTCCAGACAATTAAAGCACAAAGTGAGCAATACTGCATGTTGGCTTTATTCATTCATTTGCCTATTAATATGATTCTGCCTGGTACTAACGTGATTTGTGTTTTTAGAACATTTTTCTTATTTTCACATTTAGCTTTCAAAGGTTCAGGTGAATGTTAGCAAGAATTACTGACAAGCAGTAAAATGTATCACTCCTTCCTACCACAGGGTGACACAGACAGGGAGAGCTATGTGACATGGAGTCTGTCCCTCCCACCACATGGTGACACAGACAGGAGGAGCTATATGACATGGAGTCTGTACCTCCCACCACAGGGTGACACAGACAGGGGGAGCTATGTGACATGGAGTCTGTACCTCCCACCACAGGGTGACACAGACAGGGGGAGCTATGTGACATGGAGTCTGTCCTCCCACCACAGGGTGATACAGACATGGGAAGCTATGTGACATGGAGTCTGTCCGTCCCACCACAGTAAAGGATGTCAATGTGACCATCTAGGTAGGACACAGGAGCATTAAGTCGTACATGATACTGGTGGGTTTATTCTTTATGGCTGACAGTTGTTTGTTGTGTCTAGCTGTTGCATGAAGAACTGGCCCTGCAGTGGGTGGTGAGCGGCACTCCAGTCCGAGAAGCAGCTCTGAGTCAAGCTTGGTTCTTCTTCCAGCTCATGGTAAGTGGTGGAGAGGTAATAGAAGAATATGCGGGACAAGCTAAGACTGTCTGCCGAGAATGCGATAGACAGAAGGAGGTGAATTTGTCTTTGTGTAGTGTGGATTTCAGATGTAAAGTATTCCTGTATGTTAGAAAAATTTTGTAAACTAAAAGTGATTCTGTATAAGGGTGCAAGAAGCTGGAAGAGTGCGCCTCATTACTGCAACCCCCCACAAGACATGCTGGAGACCCTTAATACCCTGTGTAGATCTAGGCTTTCTGAAAAACTCTTATTTACATAGGCTCAATTATGAGCCACTACTACTTTTATACAGCAGTCCTTGACTTGGCACGCAGCAGACCTTGACTTTGCACGCAGCAGACCTTGACTTTGCACGCAGCAGACCTTGACTTTGCACGCAGCAGACCTTGACTTTGCACGCAGCAGTCCTTGACTTGGCACACAGCAGTCCTTGACTTGGCACACAGCAGTCCTTGACTTGGCACACAGCAGTCCTTGACTTGGCACACAGCAGTCCTTGACTTGGCACACAGCAGTCCTGGAGTTTGGCACACAGCAGTCCTGTAGCTTTGTGCCCAGTAGTCCTTGAGCTTGGCGAACAGCAGTCCTATGGCGTGGTGCCTAGTAGTCCTGGAGCTTGGCGTACAGCAGTCCTTTGAGCTTGGCACACAACAGCCCTGGAGCTTGGCACACAGCAGTCCTATAGTTTGGTGCCTAGTAGTCCTGGAGCTTGGCGCACAGCAGTCCTTTGAGCTTACACACAGCAGTCATTGAGCTTCGCACACAGTCCAATAGCTTTGTGCCTAGTTGTCCTTGAGCTTGGCGCAGAGCAGTCCTATAGCTTGGTGCCCAGTAGTCCTTGAGCTTGGCACACAGCAGTCCTATAGCTTGGTGCCCAGTAGTCCTTGAGCTTGGCACACAGCTGTCCTATAGCCTGGTGCCTAGTAGTCCTAGAGCTTGGCGCACAGCAGTACTCGAGCTTGGCGCACAATAGTCCTCGAGCTTGGCTGTGGGTTGCTTAGTGCTGCACTGTGGGAAGGAAGTGTGCCTTCTCCTCCCATATCCCAGAAGAGCTGGGAGTGCGTCAAGAGTTTGCAGCAGTGCAATAAAACACATTCAAATAAAACAAAGTTCTCCTTTTAGTTTTGGTTGTCCTCATTTTCCTTGTACATGTACCAGATTTATTAGAGCGTGTCTGTTTTCCCATCCTTAGACAAAGAGCATGTCTCTGCATCTTTATAACTCCGAGCGGCTGGACGCACCCAGAAAACAGCGATTCCCAGAGAGATTTGTAGATGATATATCCGCCCTGGTGTGCAACGTCTGCACGGAGATCGCCAGCCGATACCTCAAGGTCCTACACATTGTGCTCATTGATCTTACTTTTTTCTTTTTTTTCCTCTATCTTAAAGTATTTCATTGCGTATAACTTTTAATGTCTATGTGTTTAGCTCCCATTATGTAAGGGAACACTGTGTAACTTCAGGGCTGCTGGAAATCATTAAAGAAACCCATAGATGTAAGATGGCAGGAGAACTGACTCCGACACTGTTGCATGGAACAAATTCAGAAATAAACACTTGTGATCACTTTGGCATTGCTATGCACATAGGAAGACATCCCTGGTGCTGTATGAATTTTATCCTGAGACTTTGGCGGCCCAAGGGTTTTCTCCGATAGTCGCATAATGGCCAGACCGGAGGATTTCACATTCTGTAGTCACCCACAAGGGGCAGCAATCATTTAACGTGTGTGGGAATCCTGTGCTACCCACAGACATTAGATGCCTGTTTATGATGTACCCCGGGCTATCATGGCCATTAAATATCTGGGGGGGAAGTAGCAATAGGACAGGCAGAATGGCCTTGCACAGACACTGATGTGAGTCAGTGCTGGGACTTGTGAGCGTGCGCACACACACACACACATCTTTTGCATAGGAAAAACGCATATACCTAGCTGTATGATACTGAAATTTAAAGGGTTAATAAACCCTCCCTTTAAAAATGATTGCACATGAAAATCCATCTAGTATTTTCAAAAATTGTTTCCCCCCAACTTCCTGTTTTTGGAGTGCACACACTATTACTCCCCGATGCACTGACTGTGGGACTACATGTCCCATGAAAACTTGTGTGCGCATATTAGAGTGTACATGCACACAAAAGTTTAATTCAGTTTGGCAAGTTTTATTGAGTTTTGAGTTTCTGTGCACAGTTTACTTGTAGATAAAGAGATGACACTGGCAGCTATATGAATGAGTATACAGTAATGTAAGTAGTAGTGGCTACGTGATAAAAGGTTTCTTGACTTGAAAAGGACTGGGTGACTTTCATGCAACTAATAGTATTACTATAACTAAAGGGTGAGAGAGCCATATTGTGATCCAAGGAGCGAGTTCTCTAACCTTGGTGGGTGGTCTTGAAGGAATTTCCTCTTCTGTGTGGCAATATTGGCACCATTTGGCTCCAGAGGTTTTGTTTTTTCTTGACTGAAGCTGCAGGGATTGTGGGAGGCTGTACTTGATGGGTTCCAGTCATATTTCCATTAATCATCTATAACTATATGTACGTCTTTCTTCCCGGACAGGATGCTGAGCTGGCTGAACGCATTAACATCAGTCTTGCTTTCTTCCTCAATGATCTTTTGTCCCTGATGGATCGCAGCTTTGTCTTTGGCCTCATACGCTCGTATTATAAACAGGTAAAACATAGTAGAATCACTGGCGTTTGTCACATTCATTTGTATTTTTTTTCAGTTGAAGGGTGTTCTTCCTTATTCAGAGATTTATCCAGTGCTCTTTATAAAAGTTACACATTGTTCAGCAAACAGCTTTCCATGTCGCCACTCAGTGTAACTGGGTTTTTTTTTGTGGATGTCGATGGGCAGACCGTTCCAACTGAGCAGCATTGATTCTATGCTCATTTTTGAGACGTTAACCACTGCTAAGCTGCAAAAGCACCTTGTTGTTGGTTATCTCTCACACTTCAGCGACAAATCAGTGTTGCTAGTCATCCTTGACCTTTATAGCTTTAGCGAACCACTGAGCCATGGTGCTGTGACTTAAAGGTTGGCTAAAGCTGTGAAGGTCAACGGGCACTTCTGCCTTGTAGTACTGGGGTCCCTGGTTTGAATCACGGTCAGGACACTATCTGCAAGGAGTTTGCATGTCCTCCCTTTGCTTGTGTGGGTTTCCTCCGGGTACTCCGGTTTCCTCCCACACTCCAAAGACATGCTGGAAGGTTAATTGGCTCTTGTCTAAATTGGCCCTCGTATGTATGTGAGATAGGGGCCTTAGATTGTAAGCTCCTTGAGGGCAGGGACTGATGGGAATGTGCAGTATGTAAAGCGCTGCATAAATTGTCGGCACTGTATAAATAGCTGTAATAAATAAATAATTTGCTGACAATGTTGCATCTTATACGTGATAAAAGTTCCAAAAATAAAAACCTAATTTAAGTTTTTCAGTTTGAATCCGCAAAATTAAATCCCAATCCATCAAAACAAAATTGTGCCATTTCCTAGTTTATTTTCTTTTGAAAACAACTACAGCCTAAGTAGAAAAGCCTGTCTCCTGCCAGCATGGTGCAGGGAGGTATCCTTGCTCCCTGAAAAGAAGCAGAGGTCTGCCACACCCCTACGGAGTCACAGCTAGCGTTCTCCATTCAGCATGGAGCATGAGCTTTTCTGGTTGTAGAGCTATAGGTCTTACTTAGGGGCTTCAGCACAGAGAGTAAGGGTCTGCATGCGTGCAATGGACAGGCTTTGCTAGTCAGACTGTGGCTGCTTTCTAAAGTCAGCACACTGCAAGGCTTTGCACACGTTTTCTTTTGATGCCCCTGAAATGTATTTTGTTGTCAGTTCAGTTTTGCATCCCTTTTAAACCAAGACCTCTTACACGTTATGTATGACACTACTTATGTCTTCTGCTTTACAGATTAACAATAAATTGTCAAAGGCTCAGAACCCGAATGTGTTGATCTCTCTGCGTATGGATTTGATTCGCATCGTGTGCTCGCATGAACATTACGTCCCCTTAAACCTGCCCTGCAGCCGCCTTTCACCACCCAATTCTCCCTCGCCCTCCATCTCTTCCACCACATCTCAGGTACAATGGTGCTAATTCAAACAGAACACCAGTCAGAATGTATTTCTTCATTTCGGGTTAGTGGGGTTTACAGCTGTCCTGGTCCCTAGGGAGGTCTCACGTCAACAGGCTGGCTGTAATAATCTGAGAACTTGACTAAAAGGCGATCAGCTATTGTCAGTTGCCTATATATGTGCTGTATTTTTTTTCCTATTGAGAATCCCATAGTGGGCATGCCATACAGTATTTCTTTGAGAGCCATCTAGTGGTTTCTTTTTTGGAACATATGATTCATTCAGAGACCCCTATGGTTTTCTTCCAAACTCCCTGCCTGCTGTGGTCATAGCAGGAGTGGGAGACAACAGAAAAACAGAGGCTTTAAAACTAGGTCATAGTTGCAAATGGGCTTCTGCTACCGGGGCACCCATAGGGCCTCTGCACACTTAATCAAAATGCTCAGTACAGTGCCCTAATACCACCCTATAGGAAACTTCTCAGGAACTTTAAAAGGCCCAAAAGCAGCATTTTGGGAGAATGATGTCACAAGAACACGAATAAGAGGTACGTCTTCCAATGGGGACACTCGTTCCAGTGACTGATCTTTAAGAGGGCATGTCCCTCACTTTGGAGTGATTCTCTCTCACCTTCTGTTGCTCTCCCGTGGTTCTCCTCCTACCTATCTAAGCGCTCCTTTAGTGTCGCCTATCCAGAGTAGGAAGTGAAGCGGAAATCTCACCAAACGTTTTTCACTCAAAGCTTTATATAAATAACATACGGCTTAACATATACTTTACATGCTAAGGACTAGTTAGAGCTGTTGGAAGCAGTATTAAGAATCTCTGAAATGTTTCCTCTTTTTTTCTTTGTCCTTCAGAGCTCCATGCTTTCCAGTCCAGCCCAGGACAAGACCATCACTAATATGTTTGAGCTGTCAGTGCCGTTCAGACAGCAGCACTTCCTGTCAGGTCTGATCCTGGCAGAACTGGCACTCATACTGGAGCCTGACGTGGAAGGGTGAGTTCCTGTAACGACGTATGTCCTGTCTCTGCTCTCATGCTATGGGCATAGCTGCTTGTGCATCATTTTCTGCTGCCCACTACTGAAATATGGCGGCTGTTTATTACTGTTTGTGTACCCATTGGGGTGATTTCCCTCATGTCAAGTGTGGTCATTGAGACAGGAATTGTCAGAAATGTCTCCAGTAGGTACACAGACCACACCAGAAACGGGTTCCAACCCTTCTATCCAAACCTAAAAGAAAAATGTTTCAGCTCCAGCTGCACTTTCCCCATAGTTCTCCTTAGGGTGACAGGAGGACACAAACTAGCGTCCTGCCGTCACCCTAGGCTCAGTATGCCGCGAGCTGTATACTGAGACGCCGCAGCTGAAGGGGATCCCGACAATTGTGCCGGGATCCGCCCAGTTGCGTGACTTACAGCTGGCTCTGCCTATCTAGAGGCAGAGCCAGCTGTACCCTCCCCCGTCCGTTCCGCCAGTCAGCGCTGGCGGATCGGAGCGGGGAGGGGGGAATCCAGCCCCTCCCCTGTCACAACAGAGAGCCGTGACAGGATCGAGAGGTGAGCCAACGCCGTTATGTGTTCGCTCACCTCCCGATCTACTGAGCCGACCTGTGACAGTCTCATTGTCACAGGTCGGCTAGAACTATGAGGTGAGTGAAAAGCACTCCCCTCATAGTTCTCCTTTAACTGCTCCAACTTCTAGAATAAAGCAAACTTCTTATTGCCATCTAATGTTGATGAGTACGTTATCTCTCATTTATCAGTTCTCTGATCTTCTCCATTGACATGTATTGTCTCGTACATCTGTTTTGTATCCCATGGTGTACACTGTTGGCTGGATATAAATGAACTAGACAAACATAGGCACTCTTCCTCTCCACACAGGGTGTTCTTTCTCCAGAAGAAATCTATCAGCACTCTGCACAACCTCCTCTGCAGCCACGACATGGACCCGCGCTACTCCGAGCTGGCGGTCAAGCAGAGCATTTCCCGTCTTTATCTCCCTCTGATTGGCATCGTCATGGAAACTCTCCCCCATCTATACGACTTCACGGGTGAATATCCATTTAACACACTTTACTGATAAGCCGAGAGGCCGCGATCCAGAGACATGTGTCACCTCCGGGGGCTGCCAGGCCTTTGACAGATGGATTCCTGGAACTGAGATTCGCGGCTCCTTCCAGCTCCCCTCATAGGCCTGATTTCACAGACAAATTTAAGCCGTTATATTTAAAGGGGACATTTGATTTATAGCGCTGAAGGCGAACCAGTTGACTAAAGTAAAGGGAAACTGGAGATTTTTTTTCATGCTGTTATAGTGGATGCAGCCTGTAAGTTGTCCACCTTCCGTGCAGCCAGTCCTTGGTCTTGGCATTGTCCCTGATACAGTACGACTGAAGAGTTCAGAAATATACGCTGCGTGGACACATCTCCAAATGATTATATTCAGATGTCATTTTAGATATTTGTGCATTTGCAACCTTGTGACAACAATTTGGGGAAGGCTATTTTTTGTTCCTGCATGATTGTGCCCCTGTGCACAAAGCCAGCCCCATGTAGACATGGTTAGGATGAGTTTGACATGGAGGAACTCAAACGGCCTGCACAGAGTCCTGACGTTAACCCTACTGAACATCTTTAGTATGACTTGGAATGCCAATCGTGAGACAGATCTCATCCAACATTAGTACCTGACCTCACAAGTGATCTTTTGGCTTAATGGGCACAGATTTCCATTGACACATTCCAAAGACTTGTGGCCCCAAAGAGGTGGAGGGGGGCAGCCAACTCCATATTCAGTGTCCATGGTTTTGGAATAAGATGTCCATAGTGTTTGTGTCAGGGGTGAACAAAGTAAAATAGAATTTAGGAGCCAGTCTCTCCACTCCACAACGTGAGTCGGCAGGAGTTGCCAACTCCATTAAAAACAACTACAGAAAACCTCAAAAGTCGGGCACCAGCTGTCATTTGTAAGGAGCATTGGCTTCCTGGCTCATGAGATTTGTCTAGCCCTGATAGAGATATTTATGTGTTACGACTTGTTAGCTAAAGTCTTTATTGCCAGCCAAGGTCTTTTATGCAATTCATTTTTTAAATAAAGAATTAGAACCTTCCTGATGTCCTGGCAGATGGGTACACTTGTTACACTGTAATATGAGAGTGGTTGTGAGTACAACACTAACACTCCCATCATCTATTAGCAGAGCCACATTCCCAGAGGGTGCGTCATGCCTCCGCTATGGCAGACGAAGTGGACTCAGACAGCGGCACCATCAGTCAGACCGTGGCCATGGCAATCGCTGGGTCTCCATTACCGACCCCACAGAAGACGACAAGTTTCCCTCTCCCGCAAGCTGTGAGTGAAGAGTCCATCCTTGACTCATACCGTTGCTCATCCATATTCCTTTTATTGGCATTGTTTCTTCTGTGTATCTAAAGTGTATGGTAGCGATTTTAAAAGATGCTGGAACACTAATCCACTTAATTTAATTAAAGGGCAACTCAAACCCAAACTTAGGTAGATAACAAAAGGGTTTTCAATGGTCTGTTTGTCCTCATAGAGGAAATTAGCTGGCCTGCCACTTGAATAGGAAGAATTATCTCCCCCAGTAGGGACAGAGACAGCAGTTAAATGCTGACAGAGATTCTACTCCTTCCTCATTCTACTACAAAATGTATCTGCCTGTGATACCTTTGGGGGGTTTTCCCTGACTTCCTGTTCTGCCTGATATTCTAATAAGCAGGAAGTGGGGAGATTTTGCACCATTGCAATTTCTGACACTCAAATAAACAGGACGTGGGGAGAAATCGCTAAAATAGGGACACAGGCAGCAATAAGAAGTTGACAGAGGTTCTAACGTTTCCACATGTATAACGAAATAAGTGAGTCTTGGACTGTGCCAAGTATTAAACCTCTCTATTTCGTCTTCTAGTGGCACGATCCCTGTGCTTGAGTTCCCACGCCGAGGAGTCCCACTTCCCCTCATTAGATTTGTATTGTATTTCATGGAGAGTATGAGAGGGGTCAGAACACCCTAGGGGAGGGGAGATCCCTGAAAGCTCCATGGCGGATGGGAACATAACCAGCAAGCATGGCAGCACATTTTTACCATTTAAGTCCCTACGAGATATGAGAAGCTAGCCGGTAACGTGGTATAAAACTTTAGTCTCAGAATGGCCGCTTTTATCTCAAGTGTTTTTTAAGTAACATTTACTATTTGCTTTATAACTATTCCAACTTACAAGGCAACTGCAACTGCTGTGTCTGGAGTTTAGCTTTAAAGAAAATCAGGGTAGAGAGTTAATTCTCCATCTACACAGTGAGACCAAAATATCCTTTCTCTCTCTCTCATTAGCCTATGCGCACCAGTGGTGTGCTCTCTGCGGAGTCCAGCCGCAATCTCTTGGTGTGTGCACTCTGGGTGCTGAAGAACGCCGAGCAAGATTGTCTGCAGCGCTGGTTTTCCAGCCTGTCTGTAGCACAACTGACCCGTCTCCTGGAACTGATGAGTGTGTGTGTATCCTGCTTCCAGTACAAGGTGAGCTTCCTATGCTTCATACAGACACTGTACTTCTAGAAACGCTTGGAGAATTTCTATACACCAATCTGCCTCCTCATTTCTCCCCATTCTTCAGGGTAAAAAGGCATTTGAACGTATTAACAGTCTGACGTTTAAGAAATCCCTCGATATGAAGGCTCGGCTGGAGGAGGCCATTCTTGGCACCATTGGTGCCCGTCAGGATATGGTGAAACGTAGTAGAGGTAAGAATCGGTTTCTCACTCATCATCGCCATTATCATCTTACTGTAATATATTGCACCAAAGATCCAGCCCTGGGCTGTCCAAATGTCTAGAGAGACATCTCAGAGCACCTACTTCCCCTCTATTTCTTATTGGTGAATCGATCATATTGGGGCTTGGGTAAGAATTTAGTCATAAAACAGGCTCTTCCCTCTGGGCTACCCCATCCATCAGCCAATGTCAGATCAGTAAGAGAATGCTCTAGTGCAGGGGTAGCCAAACCCTGGCCCCCAAGCTGTGTGAAACTACAAATCCCATGAGGCATTGCGAGACTCTGACGCAGGCATGACTTCCAGAGGCAGATGCAGGAAGGGATCTGTATTTTCACCACAGCTGGAGGGCCGAAGTTTGGCTACCCATGCTCTGGTGTGACCTTTCTTCTGTCTGACACATGTTTTTTTTCCCTTTTTATGTGAAAATGTTGCAGCTGATGCATTTAAAATCTAGACTGTTGTGTATACATGGTATAGTTATTTTAATCCTTTGATGAGCTATCTTAACTAGACTTCCTGGTGGACCCCATGTACCCCAGTCCAACATTATCCATCTAGCCATCTTCTTTGTTTCTCCTGTTTTCTCTCTTGTTTTCCATTTTTCTCAACTAGTTCATATTTTATCATCTCTTCTTATCTTTTTCCCCTTCCAGTCTTTTTCCTTTGTTTGTTCCATCTTTTCTTACCTGTCCTCACTTTACTTTGCAGAGCGCAGCCCATTCGGTAATCAAGAAAATGTACGATGGAGAAAGAACGTCACGCAGTGGAAGCCAAGCAGTGAGAAGACAGAGAAGTGAGAAGCTTTAAAGCATACGTGAACTTTAAAACAAAGTGCACTTATTAATTTTGCCCCACCACCCCTGTCCTAAATGATCCCACCTTCCTCCTCCGCACATCCGTACTTACCGAAATCCAGTGGGCACATTTCCACTATTTAAATCCCAGCTCCACATTTTGCCTTCTGCTGGACGCACTTGCACATTACAGCACCATAGACTTCTATGGGGTTGTCTCCTGGTTTGAGAGTTGAACTCAGCCAGGAGACGGAGATCTAAGGAGGGTGGCATAGATCAGGAAGGGGGGCAAAAGAAAATAAGTGCACTTTGTCTAAAAGTTTTTACATGCGTAATGATGTACTGAACATAATGATTTTCAGGTTTGGTGCCAGTGATTTGTGTGTTGTTCCAAGCCTGAAAAGTTTTTGTTTGCTGTTGATTACCATAACTACACGTGCCACACACTGCAGTCTGGTCACAGGCAGATACCCGATTTCCTCTTGTTTCAGGACACATGCAGAGCGAGAACTTGAGATCACAGTCGATGGAAATATGGCGGCCGAGGCTAACCTGGTGGTACTTGACACACTGGAGATCATTGTCCAGGTAAAATGATAAGGCAGCTCACCCAGGCAGCAATGGCACGGCTCATGTATGACTGCTGATGCATGGTGACTGCACTGATTTATATCATAGATAGGGGTAGACCTTGTGCTAAGATGTGTCTTTGCCTTGCAGACAGTCGTGCTGTCTGAGATGAAGGAGAGCATTTTGGGAGGCGTGCTGAAGGTTCTGTTACACAGCATGGGCTGCAACCAGAGTGCCCTGTATCTGCAACACTGCTTCACCAGCCAGAGGGCGCTAGTGTGCAAGGTACGTATGCAGAATGTGCTTACACTGAGAGGTCCGTCTTCTTTCTGTCCCAATCCTGATCTTTTCCATTATTCTACCAACCCCTCTGTCTTGGTTCTGCTCAGTTTCCAGAGATGCTGTTTGAAGATGACACTGAACTGTGCTCTGATCTCTGTCTCCGCCTCCTGCGCCATTGCAGCAGCTGTATCAGCAGCGTTCGGACACATGCCAGCGCTTCCCTCTACCTCCTTATGAGACAAAACTTTGAGATTGGAAATGTAAGTGACACCAACTTTCTTCTGTTTATATTCTCTTATCACACTGCATTCTGTCAGTCACCCATTTGCCATTACTGTCATGACGGCTTTTCAGTTAGAACCTATAATAAATGAGTAGTGTCTTTCAGGCCTCAAAATTTCCACTCGCCTGTTCGCGTATGGCGAGTAAAAAAAAAAGTGAGGGCGAGTGGAAATTTGGGTCTCTAAGTACCAGACCCGCGAGCCGGTACTATGTGGCCCGCAGCCAGCTGACATGTCAGGCACGCAGTCGCAGACCGCGTACCTGACTTGCGGGAGCCGCTCTGCATCTGTGTCGAATGCAGACCGTAGAGCTGCTCCTGTCAGCTCCGGCTTCCTTCGGCCAGGGCTCTGACAGTTCTGAGCTCCGGCCGAAAGCAAGGATGTATTAGTGAGGTCTGCAGCTGACCTCACTAATCACCCGTAGATCACCAGGGATCAATCCTCCTCACAGCCTCCTCCCTACAAAGACGTGAACAGGTGAGGGGGGTCGGGAGTGTATTATTATTTTGTGGGGGGGGGGTTTAATAAGGGGGGAGTGTATTATTTTATGTGTGTGGGGGGGTAATAAGGGGGGGGGTATTATTTTATGTGTGTGGGGGGGTAATAAGGGGGGGGGTATTATTTTATGTGTGTGGGGGGGTAATAAGGGGGGGGGTATTATTTTATGTGTGTGGGGGGGTAATAAGGGGGGGGGTATTATTTTATGTGTGTGGGGGGGTAATAAGGGGGGGGGTATTATTTTATGTGTGGGGGGAGGGGGGGGCAACAAGCATGCTGGCAGCGCTGGGTTTCAGCTCAGCAAGCCTGTGTCATTGATGCATCCTGTAATTGCAACCATATAGAAATAGAAAATACTAGTTTATAAACTTATATAATATCAGAAAGTATTGGTTTAAGGAGAACCCCAGATATAAGGTTTTAGGTGGAGCACAATAAGATGATTACAATTTTACTGCATGTCCCCTTGAATTCCCTGTGTCAGCTATTTCTGCAGCGGGTTTGTTTTGCTAGTGGCTTGAATGAAATGTCTTCATTGACTTGAATTGGAAGAATTCCTCATACACACGCTGTATAGACACAACCACTTTGCTATGTAATTATATAGAGTAGGAGTCATATATTAATTGGTGATAGCAATCTTATTTCAATTCTTGAGAGAGAGAGAGACCTTTTGTGGTGGTCTCTGTAGTGGTCTTGATGTCTATCACACAGATATGAGCTACTTGTACATAGGCAGACATGTAAGTGAGTGATCTACCCAATGTTTTTTTCAGTGCCACATGCCCTTAACTAAACCAGAACACCAGCTTGTGGATAGCACTTTTGTGGCTTATACAGTATATCAGAGGACTCAAAAAGTAGTCCACAGGTTGGAGTTTTGGTTTTGCAAAAGCTGTGTGATGCTTTCAAAGACATAGCGGGGCTGATACACTTAAAGGCCAGCTATTGAAAATATAATGTACCCTGATGTATTTGCTTCTATTCCATGGAAGCCTTGCACAACTACTTGCACCTCAATGAGTGATCCTCAAAGATCCAGTGTGAACGTACAAACTTGGCAGTGATCAGTCTTTAACACTAGAGGGCACCATAGACAGAGGCAAAAGGTATAGTTTGGGTTTAGAATGTTACAGGCTGACTCGTTCTTTTCTTGGCTCAGAACTTTGCCCGTGTGAAGATGCAGGTCACCATGTCCCTATCTTCATTGGTGGGGACCTCTCACACGTTCAGCGAGGAGTACCTACGACGATCTTTGAAGACCATCCTGACTTACTCTGAGGAGGACCTGGATTTAAGAGACACCACATTCCCAGAACAAGTAATGCAGCACACATATACTCCTTGCTCTAAATCCAACTTTGGCTACAATTAGTTTTTTTTATTATGGGCAGTAGATATGTCTGTAATGGCTGTTCTTTTGCAGGTTAAGGATCTGGTATTCAATCTACACATGATCCTAACAGACACAGTGAAAATGAAGGAGCATCTAGAAGACCCTGAGATGTTGATGGATTTAATGTACCGGTGAGAGCGAGCCGCCAGTTTTACTTACAAAACGTGTTCTAGTGTTTATCACATGTGTACCCACACTCTGGTCACTGTCCACAGAGAACTATCCTAATGGTCAAAGTATATCCAAAGACAAAACTTTTTTTTCTGATTTTGTATGTAGTGGGTAATGGCCATCGTGGGCCTAACCTGTTAAAATTTCCTTTGCTATACTTTAAGCCTGCATGCTGTTTTCCAAGATATTCTGAGCTCAATGTGTGAAGCGTTACATTGGATACAGCATCTCAGGATCCTTTTACATGTGCATGCTTCTAAAAGCTTGCCTATAGTTTGTTTTGTTTGCGATGAGCTCATTATCTCTAGGAATGTCTCCCTCCTGCAGTTTCTCACCTCTCTGTTTTTGTTTCTGTACACATGCTCTGACACTGACCTAAAGGCATGTGGTGTATACAAGTCATGATTTTATTGCTCCTGTTATCCAAGGCGTCAAATCAATTTGAAAATTCCCAGTTCAAATGCGTTTTCAACAGTCACACACATATTCTTAGCCTTGTCACAGCTGTAGCCCGCATGTGATAAAGGCAGCCATTTTGTCTGGAGAGTCAAGATAGAAAATACATCTGATAAGGACTAGTGGGGTCAGTTGCTGCCCGTTAATATGGGCTTTGGATGGTACATGGTAGATCGTGTGCCTTGCTAATTCCTTAATGGTATTAAGGTCTCGCATTCTTCACCACCTGTTCTTCTGTTGTAGAATTGCCAAGGGTTATCAGAACTCTCCAGATCTGCGTCTGACATGGCTACAAAACATGGCCGCCAAGCACAGTGAGCGGGCGAACCACGCAGAGGCAGCACACTGCCTGGTACATGGGGCGGCTCTGGTGTCGGAGTATCTCAGCATGCTGGAGGACGCCAGGCACCTGCCAGTGGGATGTGTCAGTTTCCAGGTAATGACTGGTCTTATACCTGACCATGTAATCATCTTCATCCAAAGTATACCAGTGTATAATCTCTACAAAATGGTCTGTCCTCCCATAGAGCATCTCCTCCAACATTCTGGAAGAGTCCGCTGTGTCAGATGATGTAGTTTCACCAGATGAAGAAGGAATTTGTACTGGGAAGTATTTCACGGAGGCCGGGCTCGTTGGTCTGCTTGAGCAAGCGTGTGCAAGCTTGTCTATGGTGAGGGGGTACATAGGATGTATTGACACTATAACCAGTGCAGCAGCAGAAATGGTTGGCAGAGGGCGCCTATTCATGACAGTAATTGGGCTCGGTCCTTTACTGCTCACCAAGGATGCCTCACTAGTAATGGGCGCAAGACAAAACCAGAGATTTCAGTGGCAATAGAATTCCTTTTTCGTTTCCAGTCTGGTAGCAGTGTTTCCAGGATTAGTAGGAACAACACTCATTGGTTAAAGTAATTTTTATATAAAAAATTGACGAAATTATGTTTAGAAAAAATGTAGATATAAATTTGGACCGGTACTCTGCACAGGCCAGTCAGCTGGCACTACCTGATACGTTTATATGTTCTGGTATGTCAGAAGAGTATGATATATTATCTCAGGAGTCAGGACAGATGAACAGCGTTCTCAAAGGGGTGTAATCAGGGGTCTTTAATTTGATTGCTGCTGTAGGTGGCAAAATTATGATATTAAAGACTTCCTGTCTCCCTCAGTGGACTCTAAGAAAAGGAATTTTACAGGGAGTACAAAAATCTTATTTTGAATTCCTGGAGCCTTGAGATGAATGCTGAGTGCACAGCCTACCTGCTGAGCAGCTCTGTTGTGGTCCAGACATTGCTGTACTCATCATTCCACCCCTCTCCCTTCAGTCTCTAACCTAGTGTTCCTGGAACACATCTGCTGGTATTTCTGGAACACTTTCTTCCTGGCTCTAACACAAGAGCCTGATAGAAAACATAAAATTCCAGTACTATGAAGTTTCTCACACCACGTAGAGTTCAACCTACTTTGAAAATCTGAATGAGGTTTGTGATGCTGGAAGCAGAGGGAGATGAAGTTGCATAGGACAGGCTTCAGGAAGCACCCTCCTGTCCTCCTACAGATTCCGTATAGAGCTGCGTGTGCTATTCTGACTCGACCCGGTTGTGTTTTCTGGATAGTGTTAGTAGCTCAAGGAACGGTTTTACTCATTGCCCGGGCTTGCTCTGAAAGCCCACTGTTCTAGCTGAAGATATGTACATGTAATGTGCATTAACTAGATGTACATCTTCCTGCAGGGTGGGCTGTTTGAGGCAGTGAATGAAGTCTATAAAGTTCTCATACCCATTTATGAAGCAAGTCGGGACTACAAGAAGCTAGCCGTGGTCCATGGGAAGTTACAGGATGCGTTCAACAAGATCACCAATCAGGTGTGTCTACTCTTTTTGCTCTTTACCTGCACCTAGTGAGCATAAATAAAACATGTACAAAGAGCCCACCCGCCTCCAGCTATATTGTGCCTATACACATTAGATGACTCCTTCAATGTCTAGAGCAGCATCAGACAACCCAACATAGACCCTTCTGATCGATACTGTTTTGAACAGGTCTGTTTCTAGGAATAGGCAAGCTAGACAGTCACCTAGAGCGCCACCAACTGGAAACGGTGCCAGATGGAACACTATTCTTAATGTTGAACTCCAACCAAACTTTTTTCAATTTTGGATAGAGTGTGGAAGGGGAAGAACATTTATTCATGACTGTGGCCCCCCTAGCAAGGATTCTGCTTACTTCCTTAGTGACAACATTGTTGCCCAGGACAGGAAGTGGGCAGCCCTTAAAAAAAATAAAAACAGCAGCAGCAACACATTTAGTAGAGAGGGAAAGCGTTAGGACTGCTATCTGGGTTTGGTTGCTCTATCGATGGACCAGAAGGAGCACCAAACAAACGTTTTAAGACTCTCATGTTTGTTTGGTGCTCCTTCTGGTTCAACTAAACTTAAGCTACTCAATTTGGGTGACAGATCCTTGGGGGACACAACTTTGTGGAGAGCCACCAAACCTAAGCCATTGGGCTCCATTTAGAACCTCATCTCTTTTGGTTAAGGATAGGATCCAGAGCCTCGTCTTTACCTCTCTTTGGATTTAGGTTTTGTTGATTTATTTGTCCATTTTGAGGAGATATTTCCTCAGTTGCTGTCTTTGTGGCCAATGTCACTAGGAAAGGAAGTGAGGGGAATCCCACCACAGGGACACAGACAGCAATAAATACCCAACAGACTCTCTTCCACCCTACCCAAAGTGAAAACAAATTGGCGTTACACTTTAGGGTTTAGGGGATATTGTTTTTGGTGGCTGCTGCATTATACAGTTATTTCAAGCCCTTCATATGACAGCAGTCTGGAAACATTTTGTGTAACAGTAGTTACCCTTTTAACATTTCACAAAGAATTTGTATATAAATGTATTTCTTAAACCACTTAATAAACAGAGAAATTTAGTGACCAATCTCCAAACATGCTCACCTTTCAGCAGTCCGGCATTCCATGTTTATGTGCCAAGGATTAGCGTAGGGATTAAATGGAGACTGTTATTGTGTATTAATGCGTGTTCTTTTTCTCATCTCTTTTTCCTCTTCTATCTTCTGTGTTGTCTGTTCTTATTTTCTCCATTATGCTGATCTGATATATGTGCCATGCGCATACACATACACCTCTAAATCCCATCATGCATTGTCATGCCATCAATTTTCCAATGCTTCCTATGTTTTATTTTCTACATTCTTCCTATTGTGACCTTTGATTTTTTTGCTTTAAAAATATGTCTGCTTTTTAACTTTCCCATTACTTTCTTCTTCTCCTCATCTTGTTTGTCTTTCCTTTTCTTTATTCCATGCCCTCATTCCGTCTATCTTGTTCTCTATTCTATGCCCTTCCACTGCCGTCCCTGTCCTCCATTCTATGCCCCATTTCTACATTTGCTGTCCTTAATTCCATACCCTCCCTCTGCCTTCCCTGTCCTGTATTCTTCGTCTAACTTCTGTTTATCCTGTCCTCCATTCCCTCCCTCTCTCTTCCGTGTCCTCTATTCCATTCCCTCCCTCTCTCTTCTCTGTGCTCTATTCCATTCCCTCCTTCTGTCTTCCCTGTCCTCTATTCCATTCCCTCCTTCTGTCTTCCCTGTCCTCTATTCCATTCCCTCTCACTGTCTTCCCTGTCCTCTATTCCATTCCCTCTCACTGTCTTCCCTGTCCTCTATTCCATTCCCTCCTTCTGTCTTCCCTGTCCTCTATTCCATTCCCTCTCACTGTCTTCCCTGTCCTCTATTCCATTCCCTCTCACTGTCTTCCCTGTCCTCTATTCCATTCCCTCCCTCTCTCTTCTCTGTCCTCTATTCCATTCCCTCCCTCTCTCTTCTCTGTCCTCTATTCCATTCCCTCCCTCTGTCTTCCCTGTCCTCTATTCCATTCCCACCCCTTCCCCATCCCCCTGCCTCTTTTTTTTTTAATTTTGCTTTGTACTCTCACTGTGATTTCACCACCTTGTCTCTGTACCTTATCCCTATTACTCAAACCTTCTTCTCCTTTCCCTCCAAACTTCCATGTCTACATTTTCTTTCATTGTTATCTCTCCTTTCATTTCCTGTACTGTACTCCTTTTCCCTTCGAATTACTTTCCTTCCCTTGACATCTCTCCTGATGTTCCCATTCCCCTTACACCGTGTCTTGTTTCCCTCGCTTCTATCTTTATTCTTTCTCACCTATCACCTTTTCTTGCCGTCATACCGTTTTCCTTCTCTCCTATATTGTCTTCTTGTCTTCACCCTTTTCTCCCTTCCCTTATCTCCCTTATTTTCTCTTGCGGTTTCCCCTTTTGCTCCCGAGCAGATCACGGGCTGGGAGGTAGGCCGTGTGTGAATTAACCGATTTCATTAGGTTTTTAGTCTTGTGTTCACCTTGCTTCTCTTGCTCACAATAATGTGCCAAACAGCAGCTAACTCTCCCCCTGACATGCTGCGGCAGGGATATCATCTACTTATGCAATAGGAAAAGTAACTGAAAGTATTCTGCCAATTGTCCAATAATAGAACTATACTCCATGTATGTAAATAGTCCACTCTAAATGTTATTTGTGAGAGGGAGACGGTTCTCTCAGTCTGCTGCCAGTCAGTGGAACGAGAATGAAGTACAGTAATACCTTGGTTTACAAGCATAATTCGTTCCGGAAGCATGCTTGTAATCCAAAGCGCTTGTATATCAAAGCGAACTTCCCCATAGGAAATAATGGAAATTCAGATGATTCGTTCCACAACCCAAAAATATTCATATACAAATGATTACAATACTGTACTGTAATATAATACTGTACAAAATATAAAGACAAATAAACCAATTACCCATACCTTTGTGGTTGGTGTGAGGGGGACGAGAGAGAGAAGGATTATTGTGTAGGACGACTTTCACTATCACTAACGGAATCACTGCTATCTCTTGACTCAATGGAATCTTTTTCATTTCGTGAAACCTTAACAAGGAATCTATCCAATGTGACATTGTGTTGTCGTTAAACAGACTCATCGCTCACACTGCTACAGCCTTATTCGCGTGGTGCTTTTCTACAAAATTTTGCTCTTCTTGCAAGACATTGCTTGTATATCAAGGCAAAATTTTTCAGAAATGTTTGCTTGTCTTGCAAAACGCTCTCAAACCAAGTTACTTGTAAACCAAGGTATTACTGTATCTCTATGATACTATTGCATAATTAGAATGTGTACACACGTGTATGATATTTGCACAGAGCTGACCCCTTGTGTTTACATATATGTGAGCAAGTCCATATATGTTTGTTTCCGCATGGTTGTTACATTGTTTTATCATGTTTGCTTATTGTGCATGTGGGCACTTTTACTTTTACAGACGTAAACCTATCACAGTCCCGCAAACACCTTAACTGCACCCACATAAAGTCATTCTCACTTGCTTTAAAGCCTGTCTTTTCATTGCACATTGTGGAGACGGCCATCTTGCAAGCAGGGTCAAGCTGGCCATACACGACTGGACTCTGCCAAAAATATGAGCAGTATGTGGCCCCCAATCCAATTTTCCAATCGATTTTTGTCAAAAGAGTCAGTCCAAAAATTATCTGCCAATCAACTACAGTCACTGCTCAGGTGTTCTGACAGCGGCACCCTCGGTACTGTCAGAATACAATAGCATGGGGGGGGGGGGGCAGGGAGGATGGGCATTGCCCCATCCACATTGTTTAGTATGGAGGCGGGCAACCAAGCATTTTTCTCATCCATCCTGCTAGGCTGAACAAGAAAAATGGCCAGTGTATGGCCAGCTTCAGTATATACAGCCCTTTAGACCAATCGGTGACATCGATGAGCCTTTGGCCCGGTCTGATATCGGCAGCTCACAGTGGATTGATATGCTGTGTATTTTGGTTCAGACAATAAAATGGCTGTTTCCAGTATGTGTACATGAATGACCAATAGTTAGCTCTGTTTAATGTGTTTTATTTCTCTTTCTTACTTCCATTTTCTTCTCCTCTGATGGGATTCTCTGAATGGGATGCAATGGTGAGTTAAAGAAATGTTTTCTTATATTGGTGTCCTTCCTTCTGGAGGGTGACTACTTTTGTTCCCCATGGTCCCTGTGTGTGTTGTAAAGTAGTCGCCGCTCCAAGATCGCTCCCTTAATGGACTACAATCTCATGTTTAGTTTACTAATTTGTATTGAGATTGTAGTTCATTGAAGCAGTGACTACACAACACACAAAAGAGACATTTTTATTAATAGTTCAGGTACGTGAATTTATTTTTAAGATTTAACTCCTGAGTTTAGTGTCACTTTAAAGGTGATGTTTTTTTTAACTTTATTGCTAATCTTCATGGCAATTTGACCCTAGGCTGGTTTGTAAAGTAAATTCTAGATGCCTCCCGCTTCTGTATGATCCATTTTCAAGTAATGATCCTTTAACCACCTCAGTACCAGTATGTTAAACCCCCTTCATTACCAGGACAATTATTTCCTTTTTCAGTGTTGTGAAAGATTGACTGAGAATTACTTCATCACGAAACACTGTATCCAAATACATTTTATCATTGGTATTTATTAGACATGTGCATCGGCAAAAAATTAGTTCAGTTTTGTTTCGCCTTCATTGGGATTTTCTGTTATTTTGGGATTCGGGTCCGAAAGTCAATTCGTTTCGGGATGCGTATTCAGGAGAAATTCATTAGCGGTAGTCTGTGACCTTAGACGAAAGAAACCCCCTCCCTCCCCTCAAGTTAAAAAAAATAAATAAAAGCATGAGGTTCCCCCTCAATTGATACCAGACCCTTTAGGCCTGGTAGGAATGTTAGGAAGAACCCCCCCCCCCCCCCTCCCACCTAATATTTCTATCAGGCCTAAAGGGTCTGGTATCAATTGGGGCAATTTTTTTTCTTTTCTGCAGACTCTTTTGTCAAATGTCACTTTGCTGAAACGTACATTTGTACAGACTTCCGCTAACTAATTCGTTTTCATTTGTCATTTCTGTAATTCGGAGATTCGGATACATCCGAATTTCTGAAAATTCGTTCAAATAACAAATCTTTCCGAAACAAATC